TAAACTTCATTCTGAATATACTATCTTTTCATTTCAAATTATTGTTCATTATCCTGCCCTGTTTCCATCAAAAACAAGAATACTTCCTCTTATAACTGAAAGAAGTGAAATTTTAATGTTGGGAATTGAAAGTTAGAACTGTTTATTATTATAGAAATATTTCATATTATTGTTAATTTTAGAGTAAGAGGTTAATGTATTTTATATTTGTATCTGTACCAAAGAAAGTCGAAAGTTACTCTTTTAAACATTCTTTTTCCTCCTTTTCAGCATTCCTTATTTTCTACTTTTTTGTCTTTTCTTTTTCAAATACTTTTTTTGTTTCCTAATATTTTATCTTTTATTGAAACTTAATAAAGTTTAATGTAAAAAAGTATTGATCAATTGATAGTGACCATTCATGAAGTAGTTATTGATGGTGATAAGAAATCATGATAATCTGTTTTAATCTATAGTCTTAAACCCTCCAAATAGTTTAGATTAAATTTTTTTCCATATTAGTCTTCCTTCCTTCCTTCCCTCCCTTCCTTTTCTTTCTTTCTTTTTTTACCCAACCTTCTGCCAGCTTTCCCATTGACTTTACTTGTTGGGAGCCACAGGTGAAGGCTGCAAATGGCAAGAACATGACCAAGGATGTTGGAACCATAGTGATTGCAAGCCAGTTGCCATGCACATGATCACATAACTGGAAGGATGCTGTAATGGCCATACAAGGAATAGTTATACATCTCTTGCTCAGTGCAATTCTAATTTCAAACAGTCACCAAACAAGTGGTCATTAAACATGGGCTAGTGTTATCAGAAAATGGTACGGAGGCTCAGTTGGGTAAAGGGGAAACAGAAAATATGTATCTGTCCCATGACTAAGAACTAATTTCTGAATACAAGGATTCCAGGATACCTCTAAATGAGTGGTTTACTGTCTGAATGCATTGAGACTCATCTCAAACTTGCTATTTTCATAGAATAACACTATAGGAAACTACAAGGATGTCAAAAAGAAATGAATATGTCTCACACAATCTATTGACTTTTATATCTATTATCTGCCTACCAACTATGTGGAGTCTGACTTGTCTTGGGTAAATCAGTGAGTTGATTCAAGGAGACAGAAATTCATGACTCTGTCTCTTGAACAAGGATGATCCTTTCTTAATTTTTTTTTTTTTTAACCATGAGGCAGGGGTGTCAAACTCAATTTCATTGAGGGCCGCATCAGCATTATGGTTGTCCTCAAACAGCCAGTTACATGTAAGACTATGACGATTCACAGCGGCCAGGGTGTGGCTGGGTATGCATGGCTGGGTGGTCACAGCTGGGTCATCATGGTGGGTGTAGATGGATGGGCATGGTGGAGTGGGTGTGGCTAGCTCGATGCCAATGATTGGGTGCAGCTGACTCGGGAAGGCCTGGGTTGGGATGGAATAAGTCACACTAGCTAACTCGACATGGGGATAACTTGGTGCCCCACAAGGTCCTTGCCTCTCCAAATTGGTGGCAGCCAAGAGTGTGTATGCATGTACACACACACACCACATTCTAAGTTTGAGACCTTTTATCCATAGGCGAAGGAGAGGACCTTCTCCCAAAGCCCAGGCATGATTGGTAGTTTGCAAGCTCAGATGTGAATAAAAGTCACCAAGATTGGAATGGGGTGTGTGTGTGTGCACATGTGTGCCCATGCACACACATGCTTGGCTGCCAGCAGTTTGGAGAGGTCAGGACCTTGTGGGGCACAGCATGCCAAAGGAGTCCTTCTTTTCCCAATCCCAGACATCCTGGGCATTTCCCTGTCCAGTGCCCACTCCCAGTAAAGCAGGAGGCAGAGGATGACACTGCTGCATGTGGAAGCATGGAGGAGAAAGTTTGCAGGAAGCAGTTTCCTCCGAGTCCAACTTCTGCCTTGACAGATCTCTGGAGGCAGGGGAGCAGCACTCCCTGGTCTTGCATGAGGGAGGATGGCCCTCTTGAAAATAATTCCAGTCATGTGTGGTATGCATGTTGGCTTGTTGGGGCAGCCTTGCTTCACACAGCTCCTCCGTTACCCCTCCTTCTCTCCAGAGAACGGTCAAGGCAGAAGTTGGATTTAGAGGAAACTGCTTCCTACAAACTTTCTCTTCTGTGCTTCCACATGGTCATCCTCTGCCTCCTGTGGGAGACCAGGCAAGGCTGGGAGGGATACAAAGGTCTTCAGTGGAGGAATGTGAGATCAGGGTGAGCACCAAAGCCTCATCCACTAGAGGAGCCTTGCTGTCCTCTCAAGCCACACAGAGGACCTCCGCATGGTGCCATGGGCTGCCTGGAACCCTGAGCAGCAACAGGCAAGAGCCCAACCTAGCCCTTGAGCTTCCAAGGCATGGGATCCCACAGCCTATCCCAGCCCAGCCCCACTTCCACGAGGGGGAACTTGGCCATGCTTACCTCCTCGAGGCTGCTGCTGCTGTACTTCCTCTCTTTAGCCAGGTTGCTCATGGTGGGAGTGGGAGGGGAAAGTGCATGGGTCAGAGGGAGGCCCACTCCCTCTCCATGCAAGGAGACTCGGCTTTGTAAACAAAGTATCCTCAGCAATAGGATGGGAGACCATCAGGAGAGGCCAGCAGGAGAATGAAAGTGGATGGTGAAAGGGCAGTAGGGCTGATGGTGGCCAAGTGCTAAGGCAGAACTTCCCTCAGACTCTCCCTCCTTTCCAATCTCCCTCCTTTGTTCTTTCGTTCCATCCTCCCTCCCTCTCCCCTCCTTCCTTCCCTGACTCCCTCCTTCTCCTTTCCATCTCCTTCCTTTGTCCCTCCCTTTCTCCATGCAAAGGAAGGGATGAGGGAAATGGGAGAAGGTGGCAGCATTTTTAATGGCCATGGGTTTCCTATGCAGGGGTGGCAGGCTGGGCAAGGATTGAAAAGAAAGTTCTTACAGGGCCAGCCGTTGAGGCCAGGTCAGTGAACAGGCCATGGACATGAAGGTCCTGGTGGCAGATGTAGCACTGCTGCTGGGTCTCTACTGTGCACTGATTTACAACAGGCAGCCACCTGACACTAGAACTCCACAGGCTGATCATGTTCTGCCCCAAGTGGCTGCCATGAAGCCACAGCTCGCAAGCACTTCCCTTTCACCGGGGACACCAGCCCCTGAGTGCTCACCCCTCCTGTGCACATGCCCAGATGGGCTGGGGTGGGTCAGGGCCAAGGCAGTGGGGACTGCCCCCTTGCTGTCTTCAGGGCGGCCCCATCTAATCACATCATGGGCTGGACCTGGCCTGCGGGCCTTAAGTTTAACATGTCTGTCTTAAGGCTACAGATTTATAGATAATCTTTGTTAGCAATTGCCTCATTTAGCAACCATTTGCAGTTGTGAGACTGATGAAAAGATAACTTTATGACCAACCCTCATATTTATGAACCTCATAAGTCTGTTAAACAAAGGAAAGCTGAAGTAATATCATAAGTGCCATTGCAGTGTCACTTGGCAACTGCTTCACTTAATGACTGAGTTACCAGCCCCAGTGGTGTGAATTATAAGCTTCACTATAGCTGAATATATATATAATAAATGGAAATTCAGTAGATGATAGTAAAAATATAACTTATTTTGAACCTACAGATAATTTCAGAAATGTGGTCTCTTAACAGCTGAGATGGAAATGTTTTACTTGAAACAAATCAGTATTGAATAGGACAAGCAAAGAGAGATTTCACCTATACTAAATAAAATGTTCCCTTGTAGTAATTTTACTGATATTTTGCCAAGGGTGGGATATGTTGATCTCTTTTCAACTCATTTTAGGTGCAATTTTAAAAGCAGACAATAGAATCTGCTAATTTTACCTTTTAAAAATGTACCACAACATATAGCATGTTTATTATCCACTATAAAGGTATTTTTCAAAACTGATTTTTCAATGAGAAAGAGAAAGTATAAAGATGATTTCTAATTGGAACAAATTATGCATAAATAGAAATGTATAAAGACTATTTTTGTGCAAAAAATAACAAAGAAACTGAATTTGTGAAACAAAAATCATACTGCTTAAGTCACAGTTCTTAAACCCACAAATTAGAATTTAAATTGGTTTGAAGTCAATATTTAAATAAAATGCAAATGCTTTAACTAAGTTGGCTAGTAAACAAGACTGTAAATCAGTTAATATTTTTGACAAAACACATTAAACATGTGCTGAACAAAAGTATAGTTTCAGCTAAGCCAACAAGGAAGTTCCATTCCGTCAATTAATTGTGAACTAGCATCATATAAGATTCTATGGTTGCATTTCTACTTCAATGTGATTTGCTTGGTTTGGGTTAGAGTGTTTCTGTGTGAACCTAGATACTGAGGTATCTAAACATGGCTTAGGTCTTCCATATTTTGTGAACCATCCACCTTTCTTACAATAAAACAATATGATGCATGTAACTCACAGATAAGTATTTTTTTTTGTTTTAGTGCTTTTTGTTCTACAAACATTAAACAAACTCGTCATATTTGACCTAGTATCAAAATATATGATGTTATACCATTCTATGATGCAACCAAATACTGTTCCAGCCCCTTAATATATATTCTATATTCTGTGATAAGAAATGGCAACAGCAATGAAGAGATACATAGCAATGCAAATCTACTTGTATATCCTGAATCTGTTATGATTGCCATCACAATTTGCCTTTTGTGTTTGAATGTTACATCAATGTACATAGAAAGAGAATGGAATTTAACAGAGTTGGAAAGGACTTTGAAGATCTTCTAGTCCAACCCCCTGCTCAACCAGGAGACCCTATACCATTTCAGACAAATGATTGTCCAATCTTTTCTTAAAAACCTCTGGTGATAGAGGACCCACAACTTTTGAAGGCAAAGCCATTCCACAGAATAATTATTCTGTCAGAAATTTGTTCTTCTTCCTAGGTTGCTTCTCTCCTTGATTAGTCCATCCATTGCTTCTTGTCCTGCCTTTAAGGAAAACAGGTTGACTTCCTCTTCTTTGTGGCCATCCTTTGACATTGGGAGACTGCCACTCCTAATCCTTCTTTCCATTAAACTAGACATAACCTCATGATCTGCCATCTTGCCTTTATTCAGTACCCTGACCAGATGATCCAGCTTTGCTGGCAACCAAAATGCATCTTCAAAACCAACAAGAAAAAAATTAAGTTCTAACTTGACAGACTTTGTGAGAGTTATTTTCCACATTGATTAAAAAAAAACCACATGCAATTATAAAAGCAATCAGCACAAATGCATACTGATCTGCCTTTGCAAGCTTTCTTCATCATAAGAATGTAAAAAACAGGCAAGAGATTTACCACCATAAATTTCCAAGATATAAGTGTCTCATCTGAAAATGGAGTACTCACTAGAATTCTTGTGTTGTGATGTTAACCTTACTTCTAATAAATGTTACAAATCAGAGAAATTGTAAAACATCTTCATTGGATTCTATGTTTCTAATCCAGATTCTGACATATCTTTTAGTATAATGTTGTTTCTTGCCTAGTATATTCCTGAAAATAGAGAGCCTGATGTTTTTGGGATCAACCAAGTCTTGATCCATTTAATTGTGATAGGAATTGACAGACCGAACCAAGTCTGAAAGAAAGTAACTGTCTCAAACTCATTCAACTGATTTTCATGACTAAGAAGTACTAGAATTCACAATCTCCTGGTTTCTAGTTTGGTGCCCTAGCCACTAAACCAAACTGTTTCCAATAATTTTAGTATAATAAAGACATTTATTTATTTCACTAAATGTATAGCCTACCATATTTTAGTAAAGTCTGGCCAGGGTACAATGAGGTCAAAGCAAACGAAATTTTAAAAAGGAAAATAATATGATAAAAAGATCAACAAGCAATCATAAAATTAAAAGAATGATATTAAGAGCTATGCTGAAAGAAAATTGCTTGAATCTCCCTATAAAATGTGACCAACACTGGGGATGGGGCTGCCTGGTGAGGGAGTTTATTGCACAAAGTAGAGATTGCTACTTAACAAGCCTGTTGCTTAATCCATGCTTTATGAACATCGCAAGGAAGGAGAATCTGCAATAGCTCTGTCTTGATTATTGGAAAACATAGACTGTGATAGATTTCCCTATAATTCTTACCTCTAATATTACTTCAATACTACCGCAGAAGAATTCATCAACATCTTAAAAAATAATACTTATGCGAATGCATACTGTACTGTATGATACCATTTTCCTTAATTCCCTTATTTAAATTTTTATTGGAAATCTGAAAAACTGTAACAAACGCTGATCAGGATCTCAAATTATCAGGATCTGATTCTGAAAATCTTGGAAAGGGGGATTTAATTGACGCTCTTCAGATGTATTGAATCATATATTTACTATTCCTCAGTTTGGATTGCATTAAATGTTAGCTTTTTCATGTTGATTAATGATTATCCCAATTGGCAAAAATCTCCTCCATTGGTGATTCTATAACAATGCGAGACTAAATGAACTGATGAGTATTTTTTAAAGGTCAATAAAGTAATTGGGCAGCAAAAGATCTTGGTTGATAATTTCATGCCCATCAATAATTGTTTTTCAGGAAATAATATGGAATGTGAGTTTTGTACAAAACCAGAAGCTTCAAAATTATTTATTATTATTATTTTTAAACATCAGCTGTTCATTAGGAGGACTTTTATCCTTGCAGAAATCGGGATTCTGAGCCACATATATGTGGCCTGTCAGAATAAGCTGAAAGTACTTTCTTTTTCAGTCTCTGATATTGCTGATATGCGACACATGCAGATTGTAAGATAATGGATATTTTTAAAAGTCATATGCATTTTATGTGTGTAATATAGGAATACCTTTAAATCAGTAATCCAATCATCTAAATTGAGTCCTTTCATCATAAAAGAAAGAATAATTTGTTACATAGATATATTAATAAACAAGGATCACAGTAATATGGATTATTGCTTCCTCACCTTGGTAACTTTAAGGTACATGAATTTCAGAATTCTAATATAATATATATATAGAAAATGTTTTATTATGTAAATGACATGAAAAGACCTATGGATTAGAAAGCCCCAAAGAAAACCTCTGAACTAAAGCATCCTCCTTGTTAGCATCACAAAACCAATAAGAGAATTATAGATTTTTTTTGTTTAATTTACCTGAAGACCTTACATCTTCATTTACATATGCACCAGCGCAATTATTCCATTTACATATGCACAAGCACAATTCTATTTTAATTAATTATGGCTATTATTTCTGGGTTGCAAAAATCTGGTAAGCCATTAGATGATAGCAAAGAAAAGCAGAAAACTCAAATGCTTTGCTGTCATCTTGTGGTCATCTGGAATTTTGCAACATAAATAGTTGAACCCATTGAAAAAAATGCCATTCGTCCATAATTCTGTTCATATTTGCTAATTTACATTTACCTGAGAGTAAATTTTATTTATTCAATGTGTTTTGTTCCTAAATAGGCATGTGTAGGATTGCAATATTAAACAACTGTTTGTAACGAAATGGGCATTTCAACTCTAAACTTGTGTTCTGGAGAATGTTTATCACAGTACAGCATAAACTATAAATCAATTTGTTAAACAAAAAATTTCTTTCCATAAACATCCACAGAATGTATCCAACCTGAAAATCAACACAATGCACCTTTGTTTGCTGGATGAAATTTTGCTAAGAGCTAATGTAAAATTGTTATTGTGGCAACAACGACCAAGGCAACATACTATTTTTGTGTGTATAGTCAAACTAACAAAAAATGGTTAGGGGATTATAAAAGAAGCAAGTACAGGAAAGTAAGCCCTTATAACAATTTTAGGCATACATTTACACATTTGCCAAGAAAGGAAGGAATGTAACACAAACTTAGATTTGATCAAAATTCTTTGGAGTGAGAAATCCGAAGTATTTCAGAGTGAATGAATACAAGTGCTGTTCTAGCTCTATGTATTAATTATTTACCATTATCTTTTTTTTACATGTAGACTATTTGTTTACTATTACACAGAGTGCATTCCTGAGTAAGAAAAGTCAGGACAACAATTTCAATAGAAGATAATATATGCAGCTCAGGGTTGAAGAATGGCATTCTTGGTTCTTTCTGAGATTGGTTATTTGCTTGCAGGTATTTCGTAGCTAACTAATGCAAATGAATGTGGAGTTTGATCACTGTTTATATTACACTAGCCTGCCTTGCCAGATTCGGTGGAGTTATAGTTTTCTACTTGGTAGTTCCTTGAGTAAGGTATTGTTTTCTACTTCATTGTTTATCTAGGTGTCTGAGTGTTAGCTCCTGAAGATGATGTGTCCTTATCTTTTTGTTTTCTTCCAAGTTTTTTATTGTCTCCTTTGAATAGTGTGTATATAGCTGCCTTTTCTATTGTCTGAATATCTGGCTTCCAGGCATTCCTTAGCAAAATTAGTGGTTTTGGATTTAGCTTTGTCTAAGTATAGTCATGGTTTCCCAGTTGGAACTATGATTAAGTTTGTCCATATGTTGTGAGATTATGGAGTTTTCATTGTGTCTTCTGACAGCTAGTTGCTATTGTCTGCCTGTCTGTCCTACATTGCAGATGTTATACTCTTTACACTGATTTCTCTGATTTTTTTCTTCTTCTTGATCTATTGGTTTTTTTTATTTACTTGGAGGGCTTTAGTTAATTTGTGTGTATAGTAATGCCGTAGAAGCAACATTTAAAACTTCACAACTTGCCACAGAAACCTAAGAAAAGACAGACAATCATACTACACTGCAAAAGAAAACAAAAGCAAAAGATAGCAATAGACATATATAAATAAACTATAGTCACACACCAGAGAGATAAGAAAAAGCTAAGAAGCAAACCAAAAAGATCAGAACACATTCCATCTAGCAACCTACACCTAGATAAGTAGGGATTAATACCAGACAAAGAATCAAACAAAAACAATACTTTAATCAATAAACTACCAAGGAGAAAATTACACCCATCAAAACTGGCAAGGTAAGTTACAGTATATAAACAAGGGATAAACCTCCACACTCTCTAACATTGATGATGTTACCTAGTTAAGTTAATGAATTGTATGCAAACAAACAACAGAGTTCAGACAGCACCAGACTCTACAGAACAAAAGTTACTTTGAATAGAGAAATAAATATTTATTTTCTTCCATATGAAGCTGCTTCACATGAGGAAGAACTGTAAAACATAAAATTAGAAATCACTTTTACAAAGAATACATCTTTTGCTAGTGGTGGAAAATATAAACAATATGTATTTAAGTAATGGGCTTTCTAATGCAGGAATTCAGGCAGAAACATGCATATTTTCAGAACTGCTTTTCTCTTGAGGATTTTCTTTACATCATCTTTAAACACCAGATTATTTCTTTTTATACACACACACACACACACACACACACACACAGAGAGAGAGAGAGAGAGAGAGAGAGAGGGAGAGAGAGTGTACATACTCTCTTATGATGCCATGTGTCTTTTAGAACTTCAGGAAGTTATCCTGGAAGGTATTAATACTTTCAATCTGCGCTATGAAAGTCATATGCATTCCTTAATTATGGAATCTGATTTATTGTATCTGCTTTGACAAATGCAGAACTTGCATGGAAGGAATCTATCTCATTTTGAAGAAAGGGCACAAATTGAACATTACAATGTTTTCTGATTGTATATTGTAATGATCAGCCAGACTCAAATATCTACATACCCTTTATCAAGTGGGCAAAAAGCATACAGATGTATAGTTTGCATTTATGCACTATGGGGACACACTTGAATCTCATTAAAAAATGTCACTCAAGACATCTGGTCAGCTGCCCTAATCCATATTGGGGGTTTTACACTATTGCTATGCCCCCAATATGTTTTAAACATTGCCAATATGCTTTCTCAGTAGTAACAGCAGCATGTCCCTTTTGGTTTCACAGCCCATCCCCAGTGCTGGTTTTTATCACGTCACGTACCAGGCAAAATGAAAAGCCACATACTGTATCTCGTGTATCTGGCTAATGATATTGGTTGAACAAACCTTGTGTGATTAGGAACAGGGATGAATTGGCTTGGGGTCCAGTTCATCTTACGGACCGCAAAAGATTCAGCTGTCACTTGTGCCATGCAGCAGATGGACAGTTTGCATCCGATTGACAGTCCAGCGCCAAAGCCTTTAGAAGCTTTGGCAGCCCATTTGCCATCAGGCAGCAGACTTTGATGTCCTGCAGATGGTGGCCTCAGCCATCTTGCATTTGTGTCGTTGTGTCTGGTGCTGTTGTGCCTTCATTCCAAACAGAGGAATGCTACCGGTTCTGTCTCACTGCCTTTGGAACAGTCACACAACAACTGCACTTTAAAAAAAAAAAAAAAAAAAGGAAGGAGATAATTCTGTTTAGAATCCCTAATCAATGGATTTCAGAGGCTGGAAATAATTAATTAAATAAATAAATAAATAAATAAAATTGAAAATAAAAAATGCATACATACATACATACATACATACCTACCTATACGTATTTGATATCACAAAGATTTTAAGCTATTTCTTACTTCTATCTAAAATCCCAGAAATGTCTGTCAGAAACAACAAAACAAAGCTTTAATTTCTTCAGCCTCCATCTAGAACCTGATAAATTTGGCTTTTCCTGAACAAATAACTGTATAATCACCAATCCCATTTTTGTGCGAATTAGGCTAATACAGCTTTCCTTGCATTTGTTTCATTCTACCTAGCTTACAAATGCAGAACAAAAGATTTTTTTTCAGTGGAGTTCAAGCTAATCTTGGTCCATGAATAGCCTAGAGTAATCGTTAGTATTAGAAGCCATGACTGGAGATCTCCCAGAATTGCTGTTTTCACATTTGGTCAGGTTAGGTAGGAATTCTGACTGGCACAATTAGAAAAGAGCCCTGTCAGTGAATCACAGAAAAGATTGTGATTTTTCTCTTCTAGGTAGAATCAGCCCAGAATTTTCCACCACTTTTTTGCCATCTACTGAATTCAATTTTTTTTTAAAAAAACTCTTCAAAGGGGAAGAAGGAAGGGAGGGAGGGAGGAAGGAAGGAAGGAAATTCCGTGGTGTGTGATTTTCAGGCACTTTAAGGTAATGGAAAATATTTTGTGGGGAAAAATAGATGTATAAATTGTCAATTAATGCACACTGCTTACAGCCAGCAAACAAGGGGGGGGGGGGAATAAACAGTTAATTAGGGGCTTTTTGAATCATTGTTATACATGCGATACATCATTTGCAGGTGCTACAATGGTGAAAGATAACCATTATAATTACCAGTATTCAAAGATTCATATTTTTCCCTATGTAATTGATTTAGGATTATCAGTTTTCTTGTGGTTATACAAAAGGCCTGTCAAGGTATTTCACACGTGTTTGGCTCATGCGTGTTCCAAAAACAAGTCAAATGCTGTTAATTTTTTCCTGAAGCATAGCTGAAAGTATTGTGCAGAAAACAGGCCAAATTTTACCTGTTCCTTGCCTTAATTAAATTGCATTATATATTTTTCTTATTTTTCCTCTCTCGTTCATTTCCTAACATCCTCTTCCTCCTTTTGCTCTCTGTCTGTCTGTCAGTCTCTCCCTTTTCTCTCTTTCTTTGTTAAAATACATCTGTGATTGTTGACTGCCCCAGATTATATCTAAGTGAGGAGTGGGAGTACTTGCACCTGGTACAGTATATGTCGTTTAACAATACGTATCATTACATTATTTACAGCTCATTTTGTGTTATTCAATAGTAAACGGCACATTAACCCTTGGAGTGCCTGCACAGGAATATTCCTGTTCCCCACAAAGAGATGCCCCCCTCCCTGCTCCCTTTCCTTTACAGCCCAGAGAAAGATGAAAGGAAGAACATCTATAGCCGAGTTCATAAACAGGGCAGCCTGTTCATTACAACCAGGAGAGTTACCTGGGCTGCTGAATTTCTCTCGCAGGAAATCTGTTTCATAATGATATTCTTTAGCATGCCCCACTTGTACTTCTGCTGATAACACAGGTTACAAAAGGGACTTGGCACCAGAGTCAATTAATGTCCTGGCTTTTTAACCTCTTTTATTGGAGTACATTCGGCACTGTGGGGACCTCACTATTATGTTGTTGGCAATACAAGGACCCTAGTGATGCAATTTCATACAATCTGAGCCTTGTCTTTAGTTCAGAGAAATAACACATCATGATCTGGCCTCATTAGGACTGACTCAGCAGCCTCACTTCCACGGGACAATGGTGCAATTTGACTTGAAAAATGCATAGGAACTGGTCTTTTTTCCTTGTTCTCTGTATTCCCCACTTGATCAGAAATGACAGATTTTCCTTAAATTTTCATCTCTGAAGCAGAATACAATTCTAGCTGAACACAAGCTTACATGGAAAGGCATATAGAGAAGATGATGACTGCCTATATTCTCCTAGAATATAACAATTATTTCCCTCAGCAAGTGGATGGGGTTTTTTTAAAGCTCTTTTAGGGAAATATAAATCTGCATCAGTGCAATGATTGTACCATTAGACACTCCATAATTTATTATTTTCCTTGATTTAAAGAAAAATGAATTTAAAATACCATTTTAGTTCTTTGAAGAAGGCTTTTGCAGTTAAAATAACAAAAAGATAGTAAGGAAAGATATCAGTGGTACATTCCCATTCTAAGCACATCCAGAACTCTAAACTACAAGTGTTTCTTTCCAGTGTTGCTGGGTATGGGCTGTTTGCAGGAGGACGTAAAAGAAGTGATAGAGGAATCTGAGAGAATTATAAATCTAAAAGAGCAATATCTGAATGCCCAATAAAATTGCATGAATGACGCTGGGTGATTCTACGGCTATAACCATTTGGAGTATTGCAAAAAGCGGGAATGTGAAAATAAGTCTCAAATTGAACTGGAAAATGTTTACTGCTGGAGCAGGAAGGGGAAAAGATTGGTAGGATAATATTTACAACATTTTCAAACATTTCTTTCAATGTTTGATATAATGACTTGTCTCTAAAAGTAGCATTCTCTTCATTGATGTGTAGCAGCAACCTCTCTGACTCCAATTATTTCTCAAACACATGGCTCACCATTATACCATTTGTAAAAAATTTGCACAGACTGCACAATAGAGAGTGTATTAATGGCATAGCAAATACAGAAAGAGACAAGGAATCCATATGGCTATTCATAACCTTTAAATACTCACCAATATCTGTGTTGCTGAATTAATCAGTCTCATGATTATCAGCATTTTAGCTGCATTTTGTTAGTAATTAGCTTGATAAATTAGCATCTGCAATATAAAACTTGACATCTCATTGTTGTCTCCGCTTTATGCTAACTGCAGAAAAAAATTGCAGCCTACTTGATAATAAAATTATCATTTCTCATATAATATAAATAGATGAAAGGAAACAAACTTTGACATACTAGATATTAGACGAAAAAGTATATCCTTTGTATTCACTGAGCTGAGCATCATAGCCTAATAGTTCATAACACAAACTTGAATAAACGTAATTTTAAAAAATAGTATTAGAATGTTTTCAATATGGGCTGTTGTGCTTTTTGAGCAAAATATAAGTTCAATTAATTCCTTTTCAGTGGAAGGACCTGGGAAAAAGATTTAAGTCAAAGGGACTGGATTAATGGCAGTTTTTAAAATTCATTTACACAAGCTGGGTTAGTTTAAGAATAGGTGAAAACTGAAAAATTTCTCACTTTTATTTCTCAGACCTATATTTATAAAAGGAGCTAGGGATTTCTAACATTTTACAAACCAATTTTAGAAAGTATGGAAAAACATCTTTAACAGATGAGCATTTGAAGGCATTCTAGATTAAAAAATTCTAACTTCCAAATTAATGGAAATCAGAGCTAGGTATCTTCCCCTGAAAATGCTAAAATATAATAATTATCCTGTACAGATGTGCTGTTATAAATGCATAATTCTCTGGCATATTCTTTGGCCATGGTTGCCACTATAGAAAACAGCACTAATAGAAACATCCCTATTAATCTGAATTTGCTATATTCTCTACAATGTATATTACCTTTCTGCTGCCTACAACCTTCTGCCAGGATTTCTTTCTTTCTTCTTTTTTTTTATTCTCTTCTTTCTAGGAGATACTTCAGAAGGAATATACCATAAGAACAATACACAGCTGCTGCTGTATAGAGATATCTAATTGTCAATATTGTGAATTTCTACAGCTTATTACTTGCATTCAGTCTAATTCTGGGCAAATTGCCAGTCACTTCAGGGATGTTCAAGTGAGCCATAATACACGTGATTCGACATCACAGCTTTAAGATACCCGACTGTTTTCCCTCTGGCCAAGGAATGTGTGTACCAATGTTACCAAGTGAAAGGAAGAATCTGATGACAAATAAAATAAAATTTGAATTTTTTTTTTCAAGTGGGCTGCATTTCAAGCCCAGATGTTAGTAATGAAAGATTCAATTTAAGGATTTAAATTACAAATAAATAAAGTATGAAACAGATGTGATTTTTAAGTTCAAATTATCCAGGAAGAAAAATATCTCTGTGCATGACAAAGTAATGGGGATTGTCTTGAGAGACTGTTGAAAACAATCTGCTATACTAGATACACCCTTAGGACAGGATTGGTTTGGAATGGGAAGGACTGGTGGAGCTCGTCATTAAACAAAAATTCTGTTTAATAAAACTTTATAACCATGATTAATCCTATGAGGCCCTAAAGGAGCTTGCAGCTTCTGATAAACATGTTTTCCTTGTTTGCAATGGTAATAATATTTTGAACTGAATGAAATCTGAACAAAACATTTTTTTAAATTGGAAAAAAAAGACATCAGGAGAAAGAATTTGCCAGTGCAACTTAATGTAAAAATTACAGAGTCACAAAGGAAGAAGGGCCACCCACAAAGAGAATTTTAGGCTGTACATTTAATGATATATTTTCTTGTTCTTCTACAGTGCAAACAACAGCTTTCTATGAAAAAAATGAAATCCTTAAATCAATTAAGAGGCAAAGATGTAGAATACTAGCAGATATGTATCCAAATGAGATTGTACTTTATTTGCTTAAAGCTTCGGATTGGGGCAAAATGTTAAAGTACAGTATAATTGCATGAAAAACCTAGCTGTACTTTCCTGGAGGTGTCTAGATTTATCTCTCCCTCCCTCCAAATAAAATATCTTGCATAGGAGCAATTCACAACTACCAGTACTATGATAAAAGTTTATTCTAAAAGCAGTATGCGATATAAAATTGGGAGCAGATAATGATTTCAAGTCTTTCCATTGACAGACTATTTCTACTCTTAGTGCAATAAGATGTTAGCATTCAATGGTTAAAATATTAGTCTAGGGT